CGCTTCAACTTAAACTAGATTTGTAACCTGGCTGCTTAAAATTTCTATTGGACAACAATTTAAGCTTAAATTGTTGAGTTTTAGCCAACTACGTAACTTAAGTTGTTTTTAACATATATTGAGTGTTCGTTAAACTTTAGAATAATACTTTTTTGGGTGACAAAGGTGAAGCTGTGAAATTAGGTCCAATCAACGTCTTAGATTTTACAGTTTATCAATTTATGTTTACGTGATACAACAAGATATTTCAAGTCTGTACAAACCTACAATCCTGACTCCCTTAGACAACATATAAATGACAGTAAAACCAACCAAACTTTGAAACGATATCTTGAGTTGTACAACGCTATCAAAAAAAGTTGTTCAAACACTAAGCATGTTGTACAATTAACTTAGAATTTCTTTTTGTTGTAAACATTAGTAATAACAACTGCTGAATTAACTTGATTTTCTTAAGGCAGCAGGTTACTTCTTTCCGGATAGTTATCTAAGTTGAAATGTTAAGCTCTTCATAAAAAATTGTACATTCATCTTTTTCCCACACAACTTAAAATCTATAGTAAAAACTATTCTTCAACATCAAAGACCTTCAGAATGCCATTTTATTGAACTTTTCAAACTGGTGGCCTTTTTGGTATTACCCTACCATGAGGGCAATGCAAATTTGTATAATTAAATTTAGATATTTTAAACCCCCCACTGTTTAGCTGTTAAACATTTAATAATAAAACTGTAAAAATCTTAATATTATGTTTACATGCAAAGAATTTTCTATGGTATGAAGGTAGGGTGTGAAACAAAACTAACTGATTGAAAAAAAGTACATACGCTACTACAACAGACGATACTGCAATTTACAACAAGCTAACAGACCTTTTTCTTTTGTGTTGACTCTTCTTTAACACTGTGATGGAGCTGGACCAACTTTCACTACACTTGCCCTTGAAGCAGTTTGTATTTCGAATGCCATTAACTTTGGGCGAACAGTTGCCCCTCGATGCCAATGAAAACTTTCTGTACAGTTTGAAAAGTTATTTCAGTCCTTTGGGGTAGTCGTATGTTAGAGGCAATTTAAAGCAGACCCAATCATTGTTGCGAAGGCAGTAGCAACATCTCTTAGATCGTGCAGAATGATGTGCTCCTCCAGGACAACAGCAAATCAACAGCCTCTTTTGCCAACAGACTCCTGCTTGCTTCCACCTTTCCTCTGAAACAATCAGAGCCCAAACTGGTCCCACTCCTTTTGTACCCTCCCCTCCTTCTGAACTGCCAGGTAAAGGCACATAATAAAGATAAAGTCAGAAATCAAGCAGTACTACCATACATTTTACCAATTCAGCCATTTTCAACTCCTTGACTAAATGTGTTACATTTATTCTGCTATAATGTATTTAGTCAAGAAATTTTAACAGAAAAAACATGAGTGTCAGGTCTGTGATTTTTTATTTTTACGATATAAAAGGCTCACTTTAAGGCCATTTTAAGGTGATTATACAACAAACCTGACAACATAGTTAGAATATTAATATATTATATATTTATTTGATTAGCGCCAATTCATAACAGAACGTTATCTCAGGGACACTTTTCAAATAGAGCAGGTCTAGACGAATTCCTTTTAACCTAAATAGAGTCCCATACAATTTTCGCTATACCTTTAACATGTGTAAATACTCAATTTTGGTTGTTATTTTCACCTTAATTTAGAGTTTCATGGCCAACGAAATTAATTTGACACACCATCGCACGACACAGACGGACATTGAAGGACCTCCTCCTTCATGGTAGTATTGAAGTCCAAGCAAAGCAATGCTCCTTCTCTTCTGATTTGAAGTTCTCATTAACGACCAGGACAACAACAAAAGAAGAAAAATTTGTTAACAGCATGCCCATGTCAATTCTGACACACTGGGGGTTGCTGCTGTGTCACTTAGCGACAAATTAACACTGTCCCGGTTTACGAACACGAACCTTCTACCCATGTGGTACATGCTCAATGGGGGACATGGTGCTCTGTCAAAATGAACTTCTAAGATGTTCCTCTA